GATGTGTTACGGCACGTGTAGACAAAATTTTCGCTAAGTCAATCATCGCAACAGCTTAACTCTGACCGTCTTGACATAGTCTTACCCCTGGACCCGATGACAGAGATAAAAACAATCGGACTTGGCATTTTGAATGCCACCTTCAACACTGAATTACATCTTTCACCAACCACGTCAATCACGCTAACGCTGCCTTCGAAAAGGTCAGTCATAGACATTCTCAAGTGGAAATCAATGCTGAGTTGACCGCTCGCCAATCCCTTAAAAGGCGATCAGAGCAGTACAATAGACGCTCAGCGGCAAGGCTCCAGGCGTCAACTCGATCCTAGCAGAAATCTAAGATCCCAACGTCTATCAACTTCTGGACAAATCGGCACACGGGAGATATGAAGAAATGGATAAATCCTAGGGACTGCAATGGCACCGTTGTCTTCAAATGTAAAGGCAACCGACAAACGTAAAACAATGTCCTGGAGCCTACTTTCTCAGTCTTTTAGGAAAATGTTTCATGTGAATTCACCCTAATAATTGGACTGCACACTTAGCGGCATTTCTTACAGAGGCTCAATACAAATACCGGATATACCGTGGGGCCTATAGCATGAGGCTCGCAGAACGGCAATGGCAACTTCAACGACAGAACTGGGAAATAACCTTTACACTACTTTCGTAGGCCTCATAAGAGCCTTCGACATTGAGAAAAGATAAGCTTTGAAAATGGTAAATGTTTACGTTGATGGTCAGGCAACTCCAAAACGGAATAATGGTGCATGTTATAATCAATGGGCCAAATGCAGCACCAAACGCAGTGTTTAATCCTTGTCCCAATTCTCTTTAGTCTCGCGTTTTTAACGCTGATTGGCGCCCCTTGTGAGGAGGGACCCGGAATCCATATAAGATACCGGACCGACAGATGCCTATTCACAGGCACAGCGTCACAAGGACAGGATACACGAGGTCAACGCCGATGAATGTACACCAAGTATCACAAAGGAAACGAATCAGAAACGGAAGGTTAAAATCTTCGGTTTTGGATGCGCTTACTTCTGGTTGAAGGCCAACACGGAGAAAACAATTACCATACAAGAATTGTCAAAGTCAATTGCTGTCGAAAACAATCGTCTCTATCTTGAATTTATAACCTCAGGAAGCTTCAAAATCAACAAGGAGATTACGACCCAGGTTTCTAAAACGAGTGAGATCTTCGTTTGACTACATTCCTTGGTACTAAATCGCTGTGACATTCTACTTAACATCGTAATGAAAATGTACAGGACTGTGTTCATGGGTAGTATTATCTACGGCGTCGATGCTCATGCATATCAATAAGTTGTCTTCGGTAAACAGTGATGGCCAACGGACACAAAAACGTATGCAACACTGCAGTCTCGGAATCGGCTGCGCTTCCCAAAAAATTTGCAGTACTGAAGCAAACCAAGCTTTATTAGGATGTAAAAAATCGGTGGGAAGCCTGACGAGTGCCTACTGAAACGACTAGTTTATGGCGATTTCGCTACACGTGCTACAAGTTCAATAAGAAAAAGAATACGAAAGAGGGGAAACTTCGAGAGCCTCATTCAAATTACAAAATCGAACAAGAATCTTAGGAGGCTATCAACAAGCACCCACAAACATGCCAAACTACGATAAACAATGATAAGAAAATATGCAAACCAATGGCATAGAGGCGTCCAAGAAGAAAAGTTATAAAAGCAAAGTTAAAATACCAGGCAACGTCTTACACGCTCCGCCCCGCTAACGAAAATCTAGGAATCGCAATGCCGTGTGGAACTTCTTCGCACGCACAACAGTACTATCAATAAAAATGACAACGGCAACGCTGACTGGTGGCGCCGCGCCTGTCCGCTCTATGAAAGCATGTTCCGGGCCAGAATCGTTCGGGTCGGACATTACAATTTTCACTTTCATGCACTCAAATCCACCCCTGTGACATGTTGTGTCGTCGCAGGTAAAACCCCTTAAACGTCCGAACTTACACAACTTCAGACTGCAGAATTCGACCCAACAGCGGGTAGACCATGTCGACAAGCCTAACCCTGTGATTTTTTCCTGTGGTAATGTGGGGCCCCAGTAGATAGAGTAGACGTGAAACTTGGAGGAACTTACGCTACTCCCAACTTGCAACCTCCTTAGTTCACAGATCTTCGCGATTCCACTCTCTGACTTGTTTCACGTGCCTGACACCTTCAGTTACCCTTTTCTCTGCCCAAGACAAATATAGCAACATGCTAAGATATTCTCTCCCTCACAACGCAAGTTGAGAGCTAATGTAAACCTGTCTAACCATATCCACATTCCTCTTATCACCATCCACGGCTCGTCAAATTAACTATAACTTCGAGGATGGCAACAGAACTATCGATGGACTATTAGGGGTGTGTAAACTGAGGTCCGTGCTATGCAATTATTCGCAAATATACCTCCGAGTCGTCACAACGAGCTGCGCTGTAGAGGCGCTGGACCAAAACGGAGTACAGAATGAGACACGGCACGCGCTGACCAGAATATGCAGACCGCGCATCCGATAACATTTGTCATACATGGGGATATCGTATTGCGCCTAGGTGCAAGCTTCACACTGCACCAGCCACTTGCACCCAATTCCAGCAGTAGAAAGCTAACTGGCTAAGACGGTGCACTGGAGAGGAATTTAGATCAACCCTTGTTCAACTAAAGTTGGCACGCTTGAGTCTCTCAAGGTGAATTAAAGGTCGTGGTCTGAAGGCTATCAGCTGACTGGGCAACTCGGTCCTCTCAGAGCGGAAAGTCCGGCGCAATGGCTTCCCCTCAATGTGACCTCCATGACACACTGACTTCTATGGAATCCGAGCTGCTCCTACTCTTTGTGAAAAGCCGGTTCATGTTTTGGGGACATGGCATGCGGAGACGGACTTTATTTGTATCAGCCATTGGACTCGAACCCGCCTCCGTTTGTTTTGGCTTAATCTTGTCACCGGGCCTAGAAGGATGAGGGAGGAGAGAGTATGGCATATGCTGCTCAAATCAACCTTCTACGCCCGCCTCACTACTGCTTCAGTGAACAATGCTAATCTTAAACTCAAGGTAATAAAGTAACGATGCTTAGTACCAGAACACAATATTCTGAGAGCTTCTATTGCACTGCATTTGTATTGTCATTAATGTAAAAACACGGCTCTAAAACACACATGATAAAATTACAATCACAGGGTGGGAAAATAGACGCCAATTAGTTGAGTAAAGCTTCATAACAATTAGGAAAATATGCAAATACTAACCGTTTCCGTGGATGAACGACCAGATCCCGAGGGGAAGAGAGATTGTGAAGCAACACAAGACGATAGTTATCCACCGAGTCAGGAATCCTGTCTGCGGCGGTGTTTAAATCGAAGCTTGCAGAGTTGAGATCATAGTCATTTTGTGGGCCACTCGGATTAGTGCTCTTGGAGGAGCGGAGAAGCCAGAGTGGCAGGGCACTACGAGGAGACCGTGCACTCCGGCGCTGGCGTGACAATCGGTACCACTGAGGTGGATACCTACCCAACTTCGGCGTTGATGCACCCGGCTGAGCAGCAACAAAATCAGTGGCGGCGTGGGCATAGGTCCGACCAAACGGAGAACCGCCGCCACCAAAGCCCCCAGCTCCAGTGTAGATACGATACTTGAGATCAATCACCTCCAGACGCGGCTGTTCACCGTCCACACAGAAGTAGAGCGAATTTGTAAGCCAGTCCAAGGCCAGACCGACAACAGAATCTTTATTGTTTGAATGCGATGCAGCACTATCCGCGCGAAAGTCACGAAACAGGCAGAGCAGGGTCTCCTTGCCCGTGCCGTTAAGAAAGGCCATAGAAATGCACTGAAGATCGGTTTGGTAAAAAAAA